CCTTATAAAGCCACCAGTCTGCATACATGCTAACTCATTACTATATGAATGGGTTAATCCATTCATGAGAGCATGATTGGATGCTCTCCAATCATGATCGAATCACCTCTTAAAAGCCCCATCTTTCAAATACCATAATCGGATTTCCCACCTTCTTAACACTGTTACAGTGAGGATCAAGTTTCAAAAACATGAAATTTGGAGTGACACATTAGACTCATAGCACTGGGAAAGAAGGTAACAATTCTTGGGGTGCAGGGGAATGGAGGTTAGGGGGCTGGCTTTCAGAGGGAGTTGAGCCACTGCTGGAGTGTATGGCCTAAAGTGTGCCATGTCTCCAGAAGGAGGGCAGTGGCAAAGCAGTCATCAGGCTTGGGGCAGGGCTATGGAGTCGCTGAGGGACTGCACAGTCTGGGCATGTGGCTGGGGTAGGGCACCACCAGATGTCTTCACATATGTCTTTAAATTTCTGACCATCCATTCAGAAAGAACAACAAAATAAACCATAATGCTGCTCACCTGAACAAAGACAAGACACCTTTCTCCTGTAATATCCCTCCATCACCCTCTACTGGCAACGTTTAACATCATCAAGTTCACTGTAAAAGTAATGTAAATGTCCAGTCCTTTATCTCAGAGCAGATACTGAAGTTGAATTTGGATCTGAGAGTCAATAAATTGATAACTGGCACTTAAATCCAGAATGAGGAACATTCCACAATGCAACTAGTCTGATCTTTTCAATGCCATAACTGTCATGGATAATAATAATAAGAAAGATAAGAGGACAATTCTAAATAAAAAATAGACTAAAATGACATAGCAACCAAATTTATTTATGAACCTACATTGGATCCTGGTTTTAAAAACAGAATTATCTGTATAGAAGACATTTTAAAGGCAGTTGGGGAAATTTGAACAAGACCTGGGCATTAAATAATGTCATGAAATTGTCATTTTCTTTATATAGGATAATGGTGTCTTAGGTAGTTAGGAAAATGTTCTTGTTCTTAGGAAGTTAATGCTGAAATATTTGGGTTGAAGAGTCATGATGATTGTAACTTACTTTTAAATGACTTAGCAGAATATGAATGTGGTGTGTATGTGTGTGTTGTATATGTAGATAGGTAAAGCAAATATTGCAAATCCTTAACAATTATGAAAACTGAGTTGTAGACAAATGTGTTTCTTATACAATTCTTTCAACTTTTCAATGTGTTTGAAATTTAAAAATATAATGTTGGAAGAATAAAAGATGAAACAGTATTTTTAAATGTAGTACTATTCATAACTGCCATTTTTGAGAGTAGCTGGCTCCTCGCATATTCCCCCCACCCCCTTCTTTAGGAACAGCTCTCAAATATCCATGGTTAGGACCCCACTAAAGTTAGGAATTTGGAATTTTGCATTAAGAAATACAATAATTTATTGTATGTTCTCAAATGGCTAGAAGAGAGTAGCTCAAATGCTCTCATCAGAAAGAAATGATAGAGTTTTGCTAATTACCTGATTAGATCATCACACATTGTATATACATGTATAAAAATATAACTCTGTATCCCATAAATAGGTACAATCATACATGACAATTAAAAAATAAACTAAAAACAAAGAGATACAGACAACAGGGATCAATACACTCAGCCATAATATTAGCAGAGTCCTCTGTCCCCTAAACAAATCCAAGAGTTCCTGCAGCTGGGTCTTTAGAACTGACTCAATTCCCACCCTTGAAAAGTCTTGGTTGCTTACCTTTATATTGGATTCTTTGAAATGTCTCTCCAAATCCTTTTATTAAATTCCCTTTTATTTTTGATAGCCTAGATAAAATCCATTTCTATAACTTGCCAATACAAACACACACACACACACACACACAAGATGAAACAGTTTAATCGGATAAAGGAAAGGTTTTCCACCTACTAAAACAGATACATATTATAACTGGAAAACATATTTCTGATTTTCATAGCAAAAAATAATGATTTGCAAATTTATAAATTTGTGTCTGCCCCCCAACCCTTAGGATTTAAGAACTTGAGTTCCCCTGCAATACTCAGGCATCAGTGCTGGTCAGTAAATTATAACACTCATAAACAAAGCACAGGTCTCATTGAAGCTTAAAAAAAAGAATTTTCATACACACAGAAAACCATATCCTTTATATAAGATGTAAAAAAGCACCTGATTTGTGCACTTGCTAATTTGTTTTCTGCAACAGACATCAACTTCAATTTAATCTTTAGTGATAACATATGCCTCTATTTACATTTTGATGTCCTCCCATCTGTGTGTATAGGTGTGACTGAAAGACTAATGTCAGACCAGTAGTCCTTTTCACACAGTGTACATACAAAGACAGTCTTTTGGAATCATGTCTACAATTATTTAAAGAGCCTGCTTTGCTTCTGCTTCTATTTCTAAAATTCTTGCTTCATCCAAAATCCTTACAAACAAAGGGACATTTTATTATTTGAAGTCACACTCCAGACATGGTTCAGTGGCTTATTTATTTCCCAGCTGCATACTGTTGTGTTTTGTTACTCAGGACTTTTTTTTCTTTTTACAACAGCCTGGTGGGGTTTAAAAAGGCAAACAAATGAACAAAACTTTGGAGACAAAGGAACCTGGGTTCAAATCTAAGTTTTACTATTTATTATCTGTGTGACCTTGGAAAATTCTCACCCACTCTGCCTTTGTTGTTTCCTTATGCGTACAATAGGGGAAATAATACATTCTTCATGGAGTTGGAGGGCTGCCATGAGATTTAATAGAGTGTATGTAAAGAACCTGACCCAGAGGTTGCATGTATATTGTTATTCCTATGTCCCTCTGTAGCAGTATCTTTTGACTTATTTTCCAACCCCAACACATCCAAGGGTTATAATATAGTAACAATGGTTCGAAAGAGCAGTGATTTACATTTGGATTCACATACTCTTCTCCCTAGATAGATGGTTTATCATGATCTTGAGGTCTGTATAGTTTGAAAAAGCCTCTCAGTAATTCTAATATGTTTTCTCCCCTCCCCACTCCAAACAACTTTGGAACATAGTGACAATAATAATAGCTAACATACATATAGTATCTCCTATGTGTAAGGAGCTCTTCTAAATATTTTACATATCTGAACTCATTTAATTCTCTCAACAACTCTATGAGGTAGGTGTACTTTGATTATTTCCATTTGACATATGAGTCATGTAAAGCTCAGAGAAGTAACTAGTACCCAGGTACACAGCTCGGAAAACATAGATCCAGCTTTTGAACCCAGGCAGTTTTGATCCAGAATCCATGCTGTAAATTATTTATTAAACCAAAGAATATTTGTATATATTCACTAATATACTAATATTTATTTATGATGTTACATTATACATATTTATTTTTTCCTGTTGTATTTACTAGGAACTAAGCTCATAGCCCCTGAAAATACCGGCTTATAATGGAAATCTGTTCTCAATTATAACACCACCTTGGGCTTAGTAATGTAATGATACTGAAACCCATTACTTTTCCCATTTCTTTTGTTCTCTATATACTTTTAGGGAGGGAGAAATAGGAAATAATAATCTCCCTCCCCCATCCTCTGAATTATGACCAGATTGTTTTATTGCTTATAACTTCAGCTTTCACAAGACTTCCTTGGATTTTTTAGCATTGTGTAAATTAAAAAAAAAAAAAAAAAACTTGAGCAACAAGCATTGTTGGGCTTCCTTCAGAACCTGCAGCAGAGTACAAGTAAAAAGGGCTTGCCCCTGAGCTTAGAAAGAGGCAGGAATAGTGTGCTCTCCTTAGACTTTCATTACCATAATTTGTCCTCAGTGCTTTATGGTAAAGAAACCAACAAACATAAAATGGATTTGTTCCCTTAGGGAGTGCAGAGAGGTTTTTTGAGCCAGATTAAGCAGGGAGCTGTGGGACACAGATTGTTCATCATTTTTCAAAAAGACATTTCACTTACAGCCTAAGAAGTGTTAATGAAGCATTCACACTTTTACCAAGTGATAAAGCAATAGAAAAACAGCTCTTTCAATCTCTCTTCGGAAATGCTCAGCAGTAACACAGGGACTGTTCCTATGCGACTTTAACAAAAGAGTAGTATTAAAAGATGAGAAACAAAGTGGACTCTCAAAATAGGAAAGTTATGGGGGAAAAAAAGGAAAAGATAAACGTGTGTGTGTGCGCGCGCACACACACACACACACACACACACACACGTTTTATTTTTTAAAATCGTACTTCTGGTACCTTAATGAGCATAACATGAAAGCCGAACTTCTGGAAGATGTCCCCTTTGAGAAAAACATTTTCCAGCATTCTTGCATAAAATGAATCCATACCACAAAGAAAACAATTAGAGATCAGGCATTGGCATCTCTGTAAATTGTCGTTGATGGAATTGTATGAATGAACAACAAGAACTGTTTTAACTTTAGCAGGCAATTTTCTTTCTTTCTTTTTTTTTTTTTTTTGCAAGAAGTCTAATTTATTACAATGTATATGTACTTTCTCCTACATTTTGAATAAGCTAATCATATACAAATGTATATCTTCTACTTTTACAGAACAGACTACAAATGAAAAGGAAATACAAGTATTAATAATCTTTTCTTTTTTTTCTATTTTTTGACCCCAACTATTTTACTGCTGTGTCTTTTCACATTTCCAAGGAAATGCCTAATCCACCACGCTATCTTGTTTGAGATCACTAAATAAGATAGAAAACTTCACAATTGTTTCTATAAAATAGTAAAACTCTTATTCTTAATACTCATACACATCAATAAATGTATGACTTATTATCACTTATAAATGTGGACTCTGAAGCTACTTAAACTTTCTATTAAGAGGAACATTTAAACCAATATCCAAGTTACCACATAGAACAAGAACACACACGTTACACACTGTGTTGTTGCCAGTTTGCCACCCTCACCCAAACCTCTACCAATGAGAACATTAGCTGTCCTCTTCAACAACACAGTCAAGAATTTTCCTCAGCCTTCACTTGGGACAGGAAAGCTGCTGGAAGCGGCCCTAGAACGAGTAGGAAGCCTAGCTGCAACTCTGGCTTGGGCTCGCTCCTCTTCATCTCTCAGAGCCTCTTCATACAAGCGTGGGTAGGCACTAGGGACAGTCCGATTGAAAGTGCTAAAAAACTCAAGAACTTTCATCTTACTGGTTTCAGCGTAGGCTCTTGGACCCCACAGGAATTCAAAGCTTGGAGGATCACTGTTGGGCACCTGACGATATTCCAGGTAGTTTTCTTTTACCAAATCTTCGGTGAGAAGCTTCCTGGGTTCCCCAAAGATGAAATGCTCCTTCCCACAGTATACTCCCATCATATTTAGCAATTTCCAGATGTGCTCCTCAGTAGCACGATTGCCCTTCGAGAAGATGACAGCAAGAACAGTCATCAGCAGGCCAGTCTTGGGCAAGCCTGTGTTGTCATTCACTCTTGCATCACAGCTTAGTTCCAGTTTGTTGACGAGGACATAGAGGCTCCTGTTGGGATCAACTTCTTTCATGTCGAGGCCAAAGATCAGCTCCAGGTTCCTAGAGGTTCTCCTCAGGATCTCAGGAAAGTGTTTCTTATCTGTTTTGATCACATTTCTCAGCATATCTGCCTTTGTAACAGGCTCTTTCTTTTCATACTTGCTCAGCAGGTAACGCATCAGCATCGTAGACTTCTTTTCTACGGGGCCTCTTTGCCTGTGCTCAGTGGAAGCCTGGGCCTGTGAGGTATTTGACTTTTCCTCAACTCGGCTGGTGGCACCTTCATGAGATCTTGTGGAGGAAGCAGCTGCTGCAGCAGCAGTGCTGGATGGGGCTTTCCCTGGCTTTTGCTGATCACCGGGTGTTCCAGAAGCAGATGACTTCTGGGGTTTTTCTTTGAAATGAGGAGAAGAGGAAGAGACGGACTTTTCTTTCTCTGCTACAGTGGCTTGAGCACCCTCCACACCCTCGGGTTCTTCTTGAGCCTGGCGGCGTTTCTCACGGGCACGGAGCTTACTCTTCTGACCCCGAGGCATGATGACTGTGGTCAGTGACAGCAGGCAGGAGTGTGGGACAGAGAGCAGATGATTCAGTGATCTTTTGGCAGAGCCTGGAGGTCTCCCTCTGCTGGCTAGACACCAAGTGTCTCATGGCAAGGTCTCGCATCCCACAGACTCCAGAGGCGGAAGTCAGTGTGCGCCTCTTCCGGTCACCCCTGCGTGGGGCCTCCCAGGGCTGACGGCAGGGGTGGCACACTACGTACAGAGCGTGGGGTTCCGTGGTGCCCCCTGTGTTGCGGAGTGAGTGGTTCCGTAAGTCCTGTCCTCAGAGGTAGATCCCTAGTTTGACTTCTGGCTTCATTGACTGAAGGATCCTTGTGGAAATTCCACCTCCCTATAAGCTCTGGACAGTTTCTCAACTTAAACTCTTACACATAGTAAGTTTGCTTCCCAGGCACGACATGAGGTGGAGAGGCTGCGGCACCAGGTAGGGGCACAGAACAGGCTCTGAACCATCCGAGAAAGTGCACAGTGACCATGGGGTCCCTTCACTAGATGAATGTAGACATCTGGGAACTTTCTGTTCTCAAAGGTTTAACTTCTACAGAGAAGACGCACATGTGCAGAATTTTGTGAGACCGAGGTCTTTTCCCTTTTCCAGCATTGCACTGTACTGTGTAGTGAAATTCATTTTATTTTAGACTTCATTCATAGTAATAAATATATTATATCCACGTTCTAATATTACTGCTTTGTGCATCGAGGCTCTTGGTTTTACGGTAGTGATCTATACACCATCTCTCAGAAGTCACTTATTCATTTGAATAACCGGTGCACTTTTCCTTCTGATTTTCTGAAATGATGATCATATTATCACCGAAAATTTTCTGTTTCTTCTTAATATTCCTAACTTTCATTTGTTTTTCTATTCTGGTCCTCTGGCTATGTACTTAGCACACTGTTATGCCTTGTTGCTTACTTTACTGGTAATGCTCCCATCGTTTTACATTTCACATTTGTTTGTTTTCTATAGATTTTAGGAAATGGAAGTTCTTTTATAATGTTAATTTGCTAAATGTTATTTTTTTCCCAGTTAATTAAATGTGTAAGGTTTATTTAAAAATTTGAATTATTATAAAGATTACTTGGATATAACATACAAAGTACAAATGTTCTGAAAAATGTGTAAATCTTGCTTTTCTTATTTTATTCTTGTGAAATACAGTTATTCTTATGTCCGTCAGAGAATTAAGGCATTGAACATTTTGCACTTCCTTCATATATTAGCCAGCTGCCGTGTTTTCCTAGCAAAATATTTTCTGATTTGACCACAGACTCTCTCAATCAGTTGTTACTGGTTTGAATAATAGAATATGCTGTCATGGTGGGCATCTGATCATGAAAACTGATATCCGGAGTGTATTTTTATTTAGATTTAAAATGTTACAATCCCAGTATAAACACTGTTAATCTAGTCAAAACAGATTTAAAATGTTACAATCCCAGTATAAACACTGTTAATCTAGTCAAAACCTTTTCTCACAAGATCGAGAGCTCGCATAGTTTAACTAGTTAAAGTCATCAGGGGGTGACTAAATTATACATGTACATTAGGCAAAATCTTAATTGATTTCAAACTTGAATGATGTTATACTAAAAATAGAGTTAGGAATTTTTGAGATAAAACTACTTAGTTTTGGAACTTTATTTTTATTTTTTTTAAAATTTTTTTATAAAATTTTATTTTGTCAATATACATTGTGGTTGATTATTATTGCCACTTACCAAAACCTCCCTCCCTCCTCCCTTTCCTCCCTCCCACATAACAATGTCCTTTCTGTTTGCTTGTCGTATCAAATTCAAGTAATTGTAGTTGTTATATCTTCTTCCCCGCCCCCCGTTTTTGTGTGTGTGTGTATGTGTGAATTTATTTATTAATTTTTAGCTCCCACCAATAAGTGAGAACATGTGGTATTTCT